GAGAGAGAGAGAGAGAGAGAGAGAGAGAGAGAGAGAGAGAGAGAGAATATTCACTCCTTTAAAGTGATTCAGTGTGTTTTCACATACTCACAAAATTGCATAAAAGCAAACCAGCAGAGTTAAATTTTGACTTGAATCAATGAATGAAATAGCAAAGGTTGCTCTTGAGTACATGAAATTCATTTTAAAACTTCAGTCCTTCTTGACAGGGAAGCTAATTTTTTTTCTTGTATCATTTTTAAATATGGTAGAAAAACAGTCAGTTATTTTTCTTAATACATAAAGTTAGATTTCTTTCTGAAAGTTTGCTTTCTTTCTGTTGTTGGTATATTTGAGTCTTAGATCTTCATACTGGAATGTGCTTCTGTGAGTTTGTTAGATAGTAAAGACTAGTCAAAGCATAAACAAGACTTAGGTGCCCAGAGGAGAGGACTTCTGGAACTCCTCCCTTCATGTAGCTAGTTCATGGTGACCTTAGTACTTGGTACTTTATAGATGTCCGGGGAAGTTTCATAGCTCAGAGGCAGCACTTTTAGAAAAGTATAGCTTGGCTTTTCCCATATAGTCTAGAGAAAGAAACTATAAGGGCCCCATCATCTCCCTAGACTTCTCTGTGAACTACAAAGGAGACTTGTAAAGTCTTGATTTGGTATGGTAGAACATGATGTGAATAGTGTGTCTTTGAGTGTATTCACATGTGCACATGAGCACTTGAGCACACAGGGAACATTGAGAAATTCCTTGTGCTTTTATAAATTGCCCCTTTTTCTTTCTGCCCTTATGGTCATCCAGAGTATGGAGGGGTCTCCAGCCTGGGCGCATGGCTCAAGTGTGCTGACAATCAGTGCCCTATTGTTTCTTTCCCTTTATGTGCATGGACAGAGGCTGGCACAGCTGCCTTATTGAGGACCACTGTTTGTTGTAACAACAGCAGCAGTACATTCTGCTCTCCACAGAGCAGCCATTCTGTCTTGGAAGAGTGGACCCAAGGGTAGGAGTGGCTGGAATCTTTCTTACTGCCTTCCTCAGTGTTCTGAGGATGATAATAAGGGAGAGGTTTCCTTCTAGACATGTTGTAGGGGAGGAGTACTATATCATAAACTAGTGACAGGTGGTGTCTATTAGTAGTCTCGGCTGGATTGGAGTAGGGATATCATTTCTCCCCTTCCCTTCAGGATGTGCTAACAATGGAAGGGAAGGACTTTCCTTGAAGCTGCCATGGAGAACAGATCTAGGATATAGGGAAGGGATCCAGTCTGATTGTGGATTAGTCAAAATATGCAATGGCTTGTAAATCAGTGGCCTAGCCTAAACTTGATCTTGAGGCCTCAGCAGGAAGATGAAGTTGAAATTCCAGAGATTAAAAAACCATTCACCCAGAAATACTGTCAATGGAGCGTCTGTCTCACAAGTCAGAAAAATGTCAAATTAGCTTTAGACCTGTCTTAGTTACTTTTCCTGATGCTGTGACCAAATATTTTGACAAAAGCAATTTAAAGAAAGATGGGGTTCTTTTGGCTCACAGTTGGAGGGACAGTCCTGTGTAAGGAAGTCAAGGCAGCAGGAGCTAGAAGCAACTACTCATGTGTTTGCAGGCAGAAAGAAGAGAGCAATGAATGTTGGGTTGCTTCCTCATTTTATTCCACTCAAGACCTTAGCCTGTGGAATGGTGGCACCTTCAGTCAAGGACTCTCCTAACCTAAGTTAACTTAATATACGTTATACTCAGAGGCTTGTCTCATAAATAGATTTCATCAAGCATTAACACCACCATAAGCCCTGTTAGTACCGTTTTGTATGGTTCTTCATATATTACCTAATAAACTTTGAGTTTTTCTCATCTGAAATATCTTAGAAGCTAGTAATGGAAATTAAATGAGCTGGTGTGTGTGTGTGTGTGTGTGTGTGTGTGTGCACCCTTGCATTTGCGTGAGTGCCTTTCATCTACATAATGAGTTTAGTAAGCACACACCCTTTCTGCAAGGCTTAGGAAGGAGGTGCAAGGATGGGATATAGTTCATGCTACACTGCTTACTTATTGACTATTCAACATGGCATCTCATTCTGGTGAACTTCTAAGACATGTTGATATAGCTCACACATAGCCCCTGTGATGCATTTAGCTCATGGATAGTACAATTTCAGAGCAGCCTACTTCTTGAATTACATTAGTATCATGGTACTTTGTCTATAGTTCCCAGAACAGTCTAGAATGTTTCTTTCTGCATCCCTGGCTAAGAGGTTACTGAGGTATAGTCTTAAGTGAGTCATAGAAGACTCAGAAGGGCTTGATAGCCTAAGCATACCGTCATTTTCCTTTGTGTCTTTGTTCTTGGACAGCCATTTTACTGTAAGGGAAGATTCTTATTTAATGGACAAGTTTTAAGTAATATTGATGACCCACACATGCTCTCTACCCCCAATCTTCCTACCTACTTACTGCTAACTTTTCATAAATATGTACAAAGGGGGCAAATGCTTCTAGGAGTGATCATAAAAAGCATTTTACCCTTAAGAAATCCAGAAATATGACAGAAACTGTATCCCTGACATGACCTCTGAAGATCTCTTGTGTGTATGTGTGCACACACACACACACACACTCCTACATCCCCTTGTAATCAGACTCCAGAATACACAGAACAAAAGGGCTTTGATGAGTGATGATGTAGGCAGCTTTTCTGTGAAGCATTCTGCTTGCTCTAGACAATCCTACAGTGCTCAGTTTCAGTTCAGGTTGGGTTACTGGAGGGCTGGCCAGCATTCGTGGTTGGCAGGAGAAAGAGATGAGGAAGAAGATTGCTCTTGGAGATTGCCTAGGGTCACTTGCAAAGAGCTAGCTGTGTCTGTCATAAACTGATACCTACAGAAACAGAAACTTTATAATGAAGAAGATAGGAATAAATTTTGGACTTTAAGTATTCTAAGGCAAAACCCAGTGCACCTCTGTCAGTCCTCATTGCTTTAAGAAAGGAGTGGTTACAAAGATTTCAGCATCATGGCCCTTATACTAAAATTTCATCTAGGGCTCAGATTCACTGTTCTCTTTCCCCATCTGCCAGTGCTATGGAAATGAGTTTGCAGCATGTGTCAGGAAAGGCATAATATAGATCCTTCCTTTCAACCTCCAGTTGGAGGCATGCTTGGAGGTGAGCATGCCACCAGGGGAAGGGAATGAAGATAGTTGCTCTATTTTGATGCTAATGGGGACTGGATGTAAACTAAGCTGGACATGCACTGTGTGCCTACTCTGAGCAAGAAAGCTGCCAAGTGTTGGCAGGCTGTTTGCCATGGATGCCAAATCTCTTATCTGTAAAACATGTAGTATTGTATTCAAGGCAGATCCAGTTGCATCTGAAGGTGCCATTGCTATGGTTCCACAGTGTTAGCATTGCTAGCCCTGTGCAGGAACTGGGTAGGACTCTGCCAAGCAGGAGTGTAACTGGACATAGTTCTACCTCTGACAGAGCAGACTATGAGGCAGGTAAGGGTGGAACAAATGAGAAATGAGTAAAAAAGATCTGAGACAGCTTATCATCATCATCATCATCATCATCATTTTTGCTGCTCCTTCACTTCTAAAGATAGGTTCTTAAAAATTCACATTCCTGATATTATAAAATATGAAACCAATTGACCTTGAATGTGATTTTCTGGAAGTCATGGTGAATATTTTGTTCCTGGTTATTGCCATTTAACTTGGAAAGGCATCTTTCTACCTCCATGAAAATATAATGACCCTTACCCTGCTTCTTAGTTGCTGAAAAACATTTTGAAATGATGAGGAAAAGCATGAAAAATAAAGTTAGTCATTTGCCTGAATTTGAATCCCAGCTTACTGGAATTTAATAGTTTGTCTTCTTTAAGACTCAGTATTCAGTCTTTAAAATGGGGTTAGCATGATTCACCTGATTCTTCATTTGGGTTCCTGGCCAGAAAAGAACCCAAATTCTGGATAGTGTTAGTTACAGTAAATTGCTTTGTAAATTTTTAGCACTGAATATTATTTTCTCTCTTAGCAACTTATTCTAACTAATTGAACAAATTCTTGGTCACAAATAGTCTTTGGTGGTCCAAAAAGGGTTGTTAGAGGTTTTTAGAGGTGCCTCATACCATAGGGCCAATTTCATAGGCTATTTATTAAGGGCTTTGATACCCCAGGGTACAAGGAACAAGTGATTAGAAGGCAGGTAAGTATCCCTGTGTGTGTATATATTTAGAGCTGTCTGTCTGACCATATTCTTTTGTTTTCTTGCAGAGATCCGGGCTCAGCTCACAGAGCAGATGAAATGCCTAGATCAGCAATGTGAGCTCCGGGTGCAGCTGTTGCAGGACCTGCAGGACTTCTTCCGCAAAAAGGCTGAGATTGAAATGGACTACTCTCGCAACCTGGAGAAGCTAGCAGAGCGCTTTCTAGCCAAGACACGAAGCACCAAGGACCAGCAATTTAAGTAGGGACTTCATGCAAAGTGCTTTTAGAAACTTGCAGGGAGCACCACTTAGATCTAGGTTGATTCCAAAGTTGTTGGAAGCCCTCAAGATTTCTTCTTTTATCATATTATTCTTAAATAAGCAGTTGTTTGTCTGAAACAGATCAAAATAAATGGGGGAGCCAAGCTAATGAGTTTTATTTATACCTTTTCCTGTGTGTCACCCACTGGTCTAAGGTGTGTGTGTGTGTGTGTGTGTGTGTGTGTGTGTTATTAGCATATGTACATATATACGGCTAATAATAGGTTTCATTATGACATATATATGCATGTATATACTGTATTTCAATTATATTTACTCCTACCACTACCATACCAGCATACTACCCTCTCCTGCTTTCTCATACTCCTACTAATTCCCTTCCTTTTCCTAACTAGCCCCAAAGGAAAGATCTCTTACACATTTATGCAAATAATACTTTATTACACATTTCTCTTGAACTCCTTCATAGTGCCTTGAGATATGGCAGGGAGCAAGCATTTCCTTTCCATGTGGCATTTTAATTAGGATGAGGAGGTAGGGAGTAAACAAATTACGATCAGGTAATTTGAAGTTGAGGTGAGTGCTGCGAGTGTGTAATACAGGTGGTGCAAGGACTGGAAAGGGCCCTTTCTATTCCTTTGACCATTACTTTATGTTTGATGAATTCCAGTGTATTCCTGTCTTATCTTACCCTGAGTAATAATCTAGCTGTTAGTCCTCCTTTTAATTCCTGCTAGGTACTGTGCTCTGTGCTGGTTCCTCAAGGAATAAGATAAGCTTTGGAATACTTGGTTAACAGAGAAAAGAACTATAAACTATATAGGAAATGGGGCTTTAATAGCAATAGAAGAACATAGATATTTTTCAAAAGCAGTGAAAAACAAGGTTAAGTAAGTAGAATGGGTCCCAAAGGATAATGCTTTGACAGCAAGCATAGAATTTCACACTTGACATGCCCTGTGGTGGTAATGAGCTCTTGAGGATATTATGTTGTGAGATAGACCCAAGGAAAAGTATGGGCAAAATTGTGTGTGTGTGTGTGTGTGTGTGTGTGTGTGTGTAATTTAAATCCAAGAGAAGGATATTAAGTTTGGAGGTACTGCATGTAGAATTGGATAGCATATGAAACAGAACAGTAGGCATATATTTGTGTTAGTCAGCTTTCGGTTACTGTGACCAGATAACTAAAATATATGGTTCCAGAAGTTCTCAGTCCATAGTTTTTTGATCCTATTTTGAGGGGTTTGTGGTGGCATGCGACAAGAGCATGTTCCTTTATGATGGTCAAGAAGAGAGAGAGGATGGGGCTAGCAGTCCATCAAGGACAATCTCCCAGTGTACCAACCTCCTTTTCCTGGTCCTACTTCCTAAAGAATCTGCTGATGTCCAGTAGTACCACAGCAGTAAACAAGCCTTTAACACACAAGCCTTTGGTGGAGAGTGCAGTCTTAGATGATAGCACTATTCAAGAGTTATTTGAGAAATTGAACAGGATTGATAACTGATTAGATAAAAATCTTACTGGTCAGAAGTAACCTGATGTCTCTAATCTGGAAACCAGAATAATTGTGGCCTCTTTTATAGATATGCAGACATCAAGGAAGCGGGCATTTTCAATAGTGACTCTGCTTTGAGCATGTTGAGTGTGAGGCATTATAAGGACTTTAAGTTCCCAAGTTGAGGTGTGGTACTGCCGAGCAAAGTAATTTTGAGTAGGGATGTCTACTGAAATCTTTAGTGTAAGCAATATTGTAAATGTAGACGAGAGAAGAAGCAAGAGCTGAGTAAACCTAAGGCTTAGGAGACATCCCAGTATTGGGAGGCAGTAAACATTTTGCTAGGAGAAAGGAAAATGCCTAAAAAGAATGAGTAAGAAAGTTGGTACTCCTCCCAGGCAGGAGGGAGGGTCCGGTGTCTCAGGGAGCTAGAAATGTTTGAAGGAGTGGTTGACCGAGACAATTTCAGCAGTTTCTTACTAATAATCTTGGGCTTAAGGCATTCTGAGGGAAGGAGAGTAAGATGAGCCCAAAGGCTGGAGGGATGGCTTAGTGGTTAGGAGTGCTTGCTGCTCTTGAGAGGATCCAAGTTGGGTTCTTAGACCCCTGTCAGGGAGTTCAAACCATCCATAGCTCCAGAGACCTGTTGCCCTCTTCTAGCCTCTGTGGGTGCTGTACTCATTCACAACACACACACACACACACACACACACACACACACACACACACACACACATAAATAAAATAAATCTTCTTTAAACAAGAGCTTGGAAACCAAAAGCTTTTTTCTCTCAGAATGGGACATCTAAATAGCTGGTTTTTATAGGTCAAAAATAGTCACACTTACATGGTACAGTGTACTGGAAGAGGAGTTGGATGAGTACTATGGACAAATGATAACCCCAGTCAGTATCTGAAGAATCCACAGAAGTGGCTAACTTCTGTCTTGTCTCACTAATGTGGTGATGTGGCTCTGCTTCTCAATTTAACACTACGGACAGAACCTTCATTTTCCCATTTCCCTCTCATTCTGTGTTATGAAAGGTAACCAAGTGCTCAGATGTTTGTGTACTATAAGCATTGCTGCAGAGACAGCTGTGCTCCTGCAACTGCGCTGCCATTTGTAGGTAGCATGAAAAAAATTGAACTTTTCATTTCTGATCTGTTCTTGCTTACTTGCTTGCTTTTCTTCCTTCCTTCCTTCCTTCCTTCCTTCCTTCCTTCCTTCCTTCCTTTCTTCCTTTCTTTCTTTCTTCCTCTGTGATACAGAAAATACACTTTAGGCGTGACTAGTAGGTGTGGCTGCTATAGTATACTTTAAGTAATATTAGCTTATATAAGACAGGTGCAGATTTTTCTGTACATAACAGTCTATTAACCAATAGGACTGTGTCAGGCTCCTTCTGTCACTCCTTGAGTGTTGTCCATTGCTGTGTAGCCCAAAGTATCTCATTGTTATCATGTCCCATTTGATCCACTGGGAAAAGCAACAGGGAAGAGGGAAAAATGTCTTTATTCTTTAAAGGTATAGTCTGGAAACAGAACATACATACCTTTAACTCATCCAGCTAGACAGTACAGTCACATGGTTATCTACACTGTAAGGGGAGCTAGACAAAATATTTATTAACTTGGGTGACCTAGAAAGTAGAGATTCTATCACTATAGAAGGGGAAACACATTGAGGGACAGTGTTTGCAACATTGCCCAAGTTTCATGGTATGTGGAAGGACAGGTGTGTGAAAGAACAATACCACTAGATCATATATAGTGCACATAAAAAAAAATGGCTTGTTCTGGTTGGAGGCCGAGGAAGATAGCCTTTTGGAGGTGAAGTTCAGTGGTTAGGAATGGAAAAGTAACACTGCCAAGGCTGTTTATTTTTCCTAAATGTTTAATAATTGAGACAATGGAAGAAGTTGGAGAAGGAAGCATTTTAGATAGAAAATAGTGCTACCAACAGCCTTGGGGTGAGAAAACTGTGCCTGGTAGATAACTTATCTGCTTTTCTGAACAATATGAATTATGACTATACTGAGTAAACCTGGAAAAGTTGGTAAGCCAGAAGATTATAGAGGTTTATAAATACTTGCCAATAGAGTTAGGGCTTTGTTCTGTTAAGTATAGAGGAACCACTGACAATTTCTGAGCAAGGAACTGAACTATGTCCATGCTTTGGAAAGGACCTGGATGATTGTGGCTAGGGAGATGTCTCAGTGTTTTTGAACACTAGCTGCTCTTTCAGAGGACCCAGGTTCAATTCCCATCACCCACATGGCAGCTCACAACTGTCTATAACACCCCATCCTCATTTGATACCCTCATACACATACCACACGTATACATGCAGGCAAAACAGCAATGCAAAGAAAACAAAAATAAATAAATCACTTTAAAAGGAAAGAAAGAAGCAAACAAAGAACCTAGATGAAAGGACATAGTAGGGAGATAGGGTAGTCCAGTGGTGAGGGTAGTAATATGATCAAAATAAAAGTCATGCCCTTGGGAATAGAAAGATGGAGCTGAATGTGAAGGCAAGAACCACCTAAGTCAAGCAAGCTGGGACCGAGAAAGCACTTTTTGGTTTTCTAAACTTTGGAGTAGGAAGTGTACTGTATCTTCATTCAGCCAGCAAACTGTAGCCTCAATTTTGCTGACTCTATGACTGGTCTCAGAATAGCTCATTCTCAGCAGGCACTTGTCACTTCCCCCAGAGCTATAGCAGCTGTTGGCCCAGAAATGCCATGAATTTGTCTGCCTGTGCTGCCAGGAGAACAGCTGCCAGCAGCAGCTCGGGGTAGATCCCGCTCTGGGGTGTGGAGTTTATTCAACTTGGGATGGAGCAGGTTGGCCAGGGCTGAAGACAGTACACATGGATTCATCCCACCCTTTTCCAGGCCAGTCTCTGGCTCCATTTCAGCCGTTCATCCTGGGTTAGGATGGTTATTTTGTTACAGTTTTAAGTAGCTGCATTTAGGGCAAATTTTGCTGAACTCCTTATTTTCATCTTCTTTTGGAAAAAAAATTTCCCCCGGAAAGTCATTACCCTGTCACCCTGTGACTGTGCTTTCTGTTCTTTGTTCCTGTTCACCTTTTGTCCTTCCCCACATGGCTCAGTAAAGATCCTCATTAAAGCCCATACAGCATGATTCATGTAAAATCTGACCTGATGGTCCCAGCCTCTGCCCCAGACAGTGAGAGAAGCTGTACACAACTAGCCTGATTATTTCATTCTACCTTCTGCTAGGTAATGTGCCCTCCTGTCCCCTGATTGTTACAGCCTTGTTTGATTAAAAGTGGAGATAAAATGTTATGTGACAGTAGGAAGCCTTCCTATGGAAGATGTTTTGGCATTTTCTTTGGCTCTTTGAAGAGCATAAATGTATTCCTATTTGTTGTTGAGCCTTTGATTGTCTCTTTAAGTGGAATTTGTGTTAATATTGCCCCACAGGATTCTGAAAGATTCTAATTAATAATGTTCT